CGGACTGAGAGGTCCCAGGTTCTATTCCGGTCAAGGGCATGTACCTGGGTTGCGGGCACATCCCCAGTAGGGGGTGTGCAGGAGGCAGCTGATCGATGTTTCTCTCTCATCATTGATGTTTCTATCTCTCTCTCCCGCTCCTTTCCTCTCTGAAATCAATAAAAAGATATTTTAAAAATAAAAATAGCCCTCCCTGGCTTAGCTCAGTGGATAGAGAGTTGGCCTGCGGACTGAAGGGTCCCAGGTTCGATTCCAGGCAAGGGTACATGCCCGGGTTGTGGGCTCAATCCCCAGTGGCGGATGTGCAGGAGGCAGCCAATCAATGATTCTCTCTCATCATTGATGTTTCTATCTCTCTCTCCCTTTCCCTTCCTCTCTGAAATCAATAAAAATATTTTTTTAAATAAAAATAAATAAAGGAAATCATATCACCCATTTGTACTTACGCACCATCCTCATTGCACAGCTGAATGTTTGCGGCTAAGTTCTATGTCGGATGTAATCTGCTGCAAACAAAACCAGGCACAGGAAATAAAACACACACACACACACACACACACACACAAGGAAAAAAAACCTGAACACGGTAGTGTGCCCTCAATAAATAGTCACTAAGTGGCTTCTAGTTCAGGACATAAGACGTGAGGTTTTAATTTATTCAAGAAAGGTAGGGGAGCACTTGCTTTGGAGTCCCACAAACCTGGGTCAGAGCCCAGCTCTGCCACTGGGCCCATGAGTCTCCCTCTCTGAGCTTCAAATGTTTGCCCCTCAAATGGGGTCATAACTGCGCCTCCCACGTGGAGCTGTTGTGAGGGTTAAGTCAGATGGTGTAGGCAACTGTGCGGCGGTGCCCAGCTGGGAGTCAGGGGCTGGACTGTTATTAGGGATGACTCTGGAGCACGTGGAGGAAGCGGGAAGGGGGTGAGGGACATTTGCTCCATCGAATGGACATGGGAACAGAGTCCCAGGGAGGGGAAGGGCGTTCCCAGAGGTCACAGAGCAGCTTAGAGGCAGAGCAAGAACCAGAGACCAAACGGCCCCTTCCCGATCTCCGATCTCCGTGGGGGGCTAGTCAGACAGGATTCATGGGCAGGGAGTGGGCCCTTTAAATCCTAAGCTCCACCTTTGCTCAGAAGGGTCTTTGGGGGAGTATAAAAGGGGGTGCAGTTCTCCTTTGCTCCAGAAAACGACCCGCTGCTCCTGCCACCAACCCCCAGCCCCCAGCCTCTCTCCGGCCACCCAGCCTCGCCGGGCCACCTGGGCGCCATGCAGCTGCCACTCTTCGACATGTGGAAGGACTACTTCAACCTGAGCCAGGTGGTGTTGGCACTGGTGCAGAGTCAGGGGCAAAGGCCCGAGGCCCAGGACATGAGGGAGCCAAGACCCGAGCCCCCGCCGGAGCCGGAGCCGGAGCCGGGGCCAGGGCGGGGGCCGAGGCAGGGAGGGTCCGGGGCCAGCGGAGGCCCGGCCACCCTGTGCAACTTCTGTAAGCACAACGGGGAGTCTCGCCACGTCTACGCCTCGCACCAGCTGAAGACACCGGAGGGTGAGGTGGTGTGTCCCATCCTGCGGCACTACGTCTGTCCCCTGTGCGGGGCCACCGGCGGCCAGGCCCATACGCTCAAGTACTGCCCGCTCAACGGTGGCCAGCAGTCTCTCTACCGCCGCAGTGGGCGCAATTCGGCCGGCCGCAAGGTCAAGCGCTGAGGGCCGTGAGATGCCCCCACCCCTGCACCCCTAACCATCCTGGTTAAGTCCCCGCTACGTTCTTGGACCCTCCCCAGACTCACCGGGCCCTTTGGAACTGCTGGTCCCCAGAACTCCAGCCCTGATGGATCCTGAGACGAGGGTGGCTGCTGGGGAGCCAGGCCGGCCCAGCCCCTGGGGCCGCTCAGCCTGTGGGGTTCTGTCCTGCGGGCGCCGGTGGATTCTTGGTGCAGCAGGACCTCTGCCCCTTGGACCACACGGCCCGGTGGCTCCTTTGGGGCCACAGTTCATGGATCTTTAAGGGACACCAGCTCTGTCCCTCTGACTTCTCAGCCCCAGCCCCGGGCTCCATTCCTTGTGGAATCTTTGGGTCCTGGGACCCACAGGGCCCGCGGTGCTCTCCCAGGCCAGCCGTCAGAACTTGCAGAGTGCACAAGACTGGCTTGGACCCGCAGCCCGAGAACTCCAAGATGGGACTGTGACTTTAGACCAGCCTGGCCCACCGTCCTCAGCACCTGCAGACCCGGGTTCATTGTGAACCACAGCCCTCCGGCCCTCCAGCCCCCCAGCCCCCCATCAGCGTGTCCATCAGGAGCCGGGGGAGCGAGGGGGCTCACTGCAGGACCCCATGTCTGGGAGTGGAGAGCCCTGAGGTGAGCTGACACCCTCCAGCTCCCCCCTGACTGGGTCCCCCCTCCCCTCAGGCTGTTGGCTGTTCGTTTGGCTGCTTTACTGAGCTCCTGCCCTCAACCGCAAACCACTCCGGTCCTCTCCCCCAGCCAGAGGGCGTGGGCCGGCGAGGGCGAGACAGAGACTGCGTGGGCCAGGCGCGGGCGAGGCTGCGTGGGCCGGCCTCTCTCCGCCCCCACCGAATCACAGAGTTTGCTTCAAGGTCGGGTGTGTTGTTTTGCTTTTCCTCCGGGTTCTAACAGTGAAGTCAACAACGTGCCCGGCTGGGAATGGCAGTTGCCTAGCGTTTATGTTAAGGGGCGAATCCGAGCCCCAGTCAGGTTTTCAGTTGTTTTGGCGCACGGCGGGGCCCACGTGCTGCCCGCTGGTTAATAAAGAGCGTGGCTGGTTGCCTTTGAAATTGCGGTGTCTGTTCGTGTCTTCTCGCCTGCCCCTCCTCCCAGTCCCCCGCTGGTGGGGGAGGGGGACTCGCGTTTGCCCGGAGGCGGAGCAGGAGGGGGTCCTGGGCTCCTCTCAGGATGTGCCCCTCGTATGTCCTCCACACCGGTCTCCTGGGGGACTGGCCCTCCAGGCCCAGCTTCCACCGTGACCCCCGGTTCGGTTCGTTCTGGCTCTTTCCAGGGGTCCTTCTCCTGCCCTGCTAGACCACGGGTCTTCAAGGGCCAACTTTATGGTTATTCTTAAACTTTGGGTGCCAGACCCCGTAGTAGAGGTGATGAAAAAGTATGGTCCTGCCCTGACCGGTTTGGCTCAGTGGATAGAGCGTCGGCCTGCGGACTGAAAGGTCCCAGGTTCGATTCCGGTCAAGGGCACGTACCTGGGTTGCGAGCACATCCCCAGTAGGGGGTGTGCAGGAGGCAGCTGATCCATGCTTCTCTCTCATGGATGTTTCTAACTTTCTATTCCTCTCCCTTCCTCTCTGTAAAAAATGAATAAAATATATATATTTTTTTAAAAAAAAAAAGAGAAAGTATGGTGCCCAGGGAAACACACATATGCACAAAAAGCTGCATATAATGTCAGAGGTTCTATTATTCCATTGGTCCACAAACATTTCTTGTGCATCCACTTTGTGGCAGGTACTGGTCGGGGCATGGGCGGGTACAGCAGTGAGCAAAGCAGGCAAGACCCCTGCCCTCAGGGAGCTGACACTCGAGTGGGAAGGGAGTTACCTGACAATCAATAAATACACAATGCCAGGGGTGACGGAAAAGAAGGTAGGCAAAGGCATGGAGCGTGAAGGAGAGGCTGTTACGTGTGTGGTGGTCAGGGAAGTCCTCTCAGTGGAGGTGCCATCTGAGCAGAGTCCAAATGAAATGAGAAAAGCAGAGAGTATTGCCCTAGCCAGTTTTCTCAGTGGTTAGAGCATCGGCCTGAAGGCTGTAGGGTCCCGGGTTTGATTCCAGGTTGTGGGCTCGATCCCCAGTGGGCGGCATGCAGGAGGCAGCCGATCCATGGTTCTCTCTCATCCTTGATGTTCCTATCTCTCTCTCCCTCTCCCTCTCTGAAATCAATGTAAAATATATATTTTTTTAAAAAAACAAAAAGCAGAGAATATCTGGGGGGAGGGCATCCCAAGCAACGGGGACAGCAAGTTCAAAGGCCCTGAGGTGGAACTGAACCCGGCCAGCTGAATGAGAGGTGAGATCACAGAGGCTCACCCTGGTGAGTCTGGCCTTCACTGTGCACCCTCAGACCCAGAAATCCTCCCCGGGCTCCCCTCACACACACACCAGTCACACAGAGCTCCGAAGACCCAGTGAGGCCCTCCGCTCACTGGTCCTTTCCCAGAAACGCAGCTCTGCCCATGACAGAGACCCCCGAGGTAAGCCAAACAGAACTGCAGTGTGCAGCTGTGGTAGTGTGGGGTGCCCTGGAGGAAGCAGGGGGCAGGGGGTGCTGCATCAGGCAGCAAGCTGATGGCCCCTCCAGTGGGGCGACAGAGGAGAGTTTGCTAGTTTAATAAAGGCCCCAAGTGTGACAGAGTGTGGGCAGCAGTCACAGAGAGCAGCAGTGAGGACAGGCCAGGTGGAGGGGTGCGGTGAGGACTGCAGGAGGGAGGGCGGAGGGTGCTGGGGGCGGTCTGGGGTGTGGGTGACATGAAGTGCCTGGGGCACAAGGGGAAGCGTCCGGGAGGCTGCTGGACGTCCTGGTTC